CTTGTGCGCGTGGTCGAAATTAAATTTCGGGAAGTTCAGAGTTGACTTGGAGAGGAAATTCTCATTTCGGAAGCTTTAAGTTGAGAGAATTGACTAGGATTGGATTTCAGAGTAAACAACCTCGGAATCGGGATCTGAAGGTTCCAGTAGGTTTGTATGATGATTTTGGACTTGGGCGTATGCCCGGATCGGGTTTTGGGTGACCCGGGAGCATTTTGGGGCCTATTGTGGAAGTTAGCATTTTGGAAGAAATTTCATAAGTTTGGGTTGAAGTGCATTTCAGTGTTATCGATGTCTGTTTGGGATTCCGAATCTGGGAGTAGCTCCGTATGGTGATTCTGGAGTTGGGAGCGCGATCGGAAGTGAATTCGCGTGTCCATGGAGCATTTTGGAGCCATTTGGCTAAGGATAGAAATTTGAAGGTTTTTGAGAAGTTTGACCGGAGGTGGACATTTTGATATCGGGGTCGGAATTTGATCCCGAAAGTTGGAGTAGGTCTGTAATGTCGAATATGACTTGTGTGCAAAATTTGAGGTCAATCGGACGTGATTTGCTAGGTTTAAACATCGAAAGTAGAAGTTTGAAGTTCTAAAGTTCATGAAGCTTGGGTTGGAGGTCGATTCGTGATTTTGGCGTTGTTTGATATGATTTGAGGCCTCGAGCAAGTCCGTAATGTGTTTTGGGACTGGTTGGTATGATTGGTTGGGGTCCCGGGGGCCTCGGGTGGATTTCGGGTGGTTAAGGGATCGAATTTGGAGTTTAAAGAGGACCTGAAGTTGCTGGTTGTTGGTGTAACCGCACCTGCGAGACTAGGGCCACAGGTGCGGAGCCGCAGAAGCGGCCCTGTGGTCGCAGATGCGGTATTGGAGGGGGAGAGCTGGTCATCTCGCCGCAGAAGCGAGAATGCTTCTGCGGTGGAGAGGACGCAGAAGCGGAATGGGCTAGGAGCCCTGGATCCGCAGAAGCGGCATTTTGACCGCACCTACGGAAACGCAGAAGCGGTCGGGAGACCGCAGGTGCAGAAAATGCTGGAGGCAGTGAGTGTTTTAAAAATCGGGATTTGGCCATTTTCTCTCATATTTTCTTGGCTTGGGCGATTCTTGGAGAGTTTCAAGAGGGGATTTTCATCATCAACGATAAGGTAAGCTAACCCCACCTATCTTGAGTTAAATATATCGATTATGTATGGATTCTAGCATGTAAATTGGTAGAAGTTTGGGGGTTTGAGGAAAACCTAGAAAATTGATATTCTTGGAATTTGATCTCGATTTTGGGTATGAAATTGAGAGCAAATTATATATTTGAGTTCGAGGGGTTATGGGTAAGCTTAATCTTCAAAAAAATTCGGAATCCAGGCACGTGGGCCCGAGGGCGATTTTGTCAACTTTTTGATCGGGGTTAGGAATTGTTATAAATTGGATTGTAATGAGTAATTGAGCATATATTAATGGATTTGCATAATTATTTGCTAGTTTGAAGCGTTGTGCATCAATTTGAGTCTTCGGAAGGGCGTGGATGGTCGGTTATGGACCTTCAGAGCGAGGTGAGTCTCCTTTCTAATCTTGTGAGAGGGAATTGTCCCTATAGGTGAGTTAATTGGTTATGTGCTCCTATTTGTGGGAGCTACGTACGCATGGGGGGATGAGAGTCCGTGCGTAGCTACTATTATGTTTAAGTCTGGGTAGTCTAGGACCCAAAAGCAAGCTATACCTGGAATATTTATAATCTTATTGACAGTTTGAATCGCTTAAATCACATCGAATTAGTGAATGAATTTCTAAAAGGATTAAACTTCATTTTCTTGAATTGTTAAAAGAGAATTGGATTTTCCTTGGATAATTGTTCCCTGATAAATTCATGATTGACTGATTGTTGTGTTTATTTATATTTGACCGCGTCGCATGTATGATTCGCGAGCGGGGTAATAGATGCATCTATGGTTCGGGCAGCTCGACCCTCGGTAGTGAACATTTTACATTCATGTTGGATCGGGTCGTACGACCTCGGCATGAGTTGCGCATGTTTGTATGGCTTGTCTTAAGATTTATTGATATTGCTACCTGCTCCCCCCGGCTTGAGATAACTGTTAATTAATGAATTATGAATTCGGAGACTTTTAATAAAAAGGAACTTTTACCCGTTTGGTAACTTATTTGAATCTACCGTTGCCCTTAATAAATCCGTGAGTCATCGCATTAATAATAGTATTACTGGACCATTAGTAAGTGTCGAAGTTGCCATCTCGTCTCTACTTCTTCGAAATTAGGCGGGATACTTACTGAGTACACGTTATTTTCGTACTCATGCTATGCTTGCTGTGCATTTTTGTTGCACAGGTATAGGTACTTCTAGTGGCCTACCAGGCATTGCAGTATGGGTGACACGGAGACTAGGTGAGCTGCATTTTCTCGAGGCGACCCGCAACTAGTATAGTCTCTCTCAGAATTTTATTTATTTTCTGTCCAATTTGTATTCCGGACAGCTATTGTACTTTATTCGATTTCTTAGAAATTGCTCATGCACTTGTGATACTGGGTTCTGGGATGGTTATGAAGTATTTTATAATAACTGTTTATCATTTAAATTCGATTTGAGACAATTATCTTTTTAATTGGTTATAAATTTGAAGGAAAATCATAGATTTCAAGAGCATTAAAACGAGAATTTAATTAAGTATTTTGATTGGCTTGCCTGACAGTGGTGTCAGGCGCCATCACGACCCTTAGTGAATTTTGGGCCGTGACAGGTATTCTGCAGAAAACCTAACAATGGTGAATATTTTCAAGACAAAACTGTTGAAGAGCTTAACCGGCCCAAAACCCAAAAACTTTAGTGGTGAGTGGTGAAAATATGTGTTGATGATTTACGACTTGCACAATTTTCATAGTTCTTGACAGAAGCAAGAAATCATAAATCAGAAGGGAAAAAATTTGGTGCCACGCCTCCACATCACGTGGAATTGGGAAAGAACAATTTGAAAAGAATGTTAAGAAAACTTGTAGGAAATCATGAAAACGCTCATTGTTTTCATGGCTGAAGAGTAGTGATAACCATGAAAATGGAAAAGCTCACCGTCTGTCGGAGGAAACCAGTTATCTGGTTCATATAGGAAAGATGAGAGAGAGACCGTGGAGAGAGAAATAAGATACTATGCGTGATTTTGGGAGAGAATAAACTGAAAGAATGAGAGAGAAAAATATTAGACAGTGTATTTAATGGCTTAATAGTAGGAAGTGACCATAAATACATATTTTGCTATAAAACTAAAAGATAACTATACAAAAATAATATTTTAAAAGGATTTTTTATTTATAATAAATAGGGTGTAAAACTTTGCTATAGAAAGTAAAATTTCCTTTAATCTATTCACCCTTAATCAAAAGTTTCAAGACAGAACTTGAGAATAAAAGAATTCATGGTAGAAAGTATTTCCATTTAATGGACTATACGAATTAATTGAGCAGTGTTCCGAAATCAAAACAATTATAACAAAAAAAAAAAAAAAAAAGTAAATGCTCATAAAAACCTATCTTTTGGGATGTGTTGGAATAACAAAAGATAGGTTTCATAAATCATAATCCAGACATGTGATACCATTTGACCAAATGATGAAATTCAGCTTTTATTAGAAGTAATGATAATTTGACTCATATTGTATCCACATATCCCTAGATTAGGCAACTTTAATGATAAGCGGAATTCCCTCACTTTCAAAGGGAAACTGCATCTTAGAGATCACTTTTATGTGCCAAAAAACTTCATAAGTAAGATAAGTTCGGTATATATAGAGAGAAAAGAAATTAGGCGCAATATCATATGCCATGATATACTAAAGTAATTAACCATACAAAGCTTGTAAAATTAACTGTTTAATAAAAATGTGAAATGCTGGAAACTTATGTATATATAGAGCATTCTATAATCTAGTCAAGTTCTTTTTAATCATGGTTGTTCGTAATCTTACATAATCCGGTTGCAGTATTATAATCTGGTATTTTTAGTTAAGAATAGTACCCCCACAATCTCTTAAATATTTAGGCAATAATATTCCCTAAATAATAACTATAATTTGTCTTTTTTTTTTTTTTTTTGGTAAAGTTGTAATTTGACTTGAACTAAATAATAAAATCTTAAAAGCTTGAAAGGAAAAGAATTTATAAACATTTAAATTTAGTAAAGTAATTAGTCTGAATCAATCAAATATATATTTAGTAGATTTGATTAGAAAAAGCAAAAACTAGATATCAACCAAAATTAAATTAGTGGGAGAAATAGTTATTCGATGAAATAGATACCTAAAATAAGCTCGAACAACACCGTTATAGAAAAAGGATTAAAAGAGAATTAGAACCCCCGATAAAGATAAACTTTTATTTTTTTTATCCTAAAAGAATGTGGGTATATTTATTCAAAGAGTAGGAGCGAGTGAAGACAAAACAAATACTTTTGATTAACACAAATTTGTGATGAAATGATAAGTACTCTTTTATCCTTAGTTAAAAATTTCGCGTTTTGCACCAAATATAAGATTTTCCGGCATAAAGGTAAATTTAGTCGGCCAATGCGAATACGGTACGGTACGATAGGGAAACCGAAAAAAAAAAAAAAGAAATACTGCTGGACCTTATGCAATAGGCTTCCATATCCGGAAAAGGCCTAAAAATGCCACTCAACTTTCAGGAATGGTCTATCCATGCCATTTGTTAAAAAAATATTCATTTCATGTCACTGTCGTTAAAGAAATGGCCCATCCATGCCATTATTGACTAACGGCAGCGGCATGGATGGGCCAAATAAAAATTGAGCCGTTAGTCAATAATAGCATAGATGGACCATTTCTTTAACGGCAGTGGCATAGAAATAGCAATTTTTTAACTAATGACATGAATAAACTATTTCTGAAAGTTAAGTGGCATTTTTAGGCCTTTTCGCTTTATATATATAGTCCTATCTCTTCGACCCACCCCACCTCATTTTCTCTCTTCTCTCTTGGAATATATATATATATATATACACACACATAAACCAAAACTTTATATAACTAATCTGAGAACCTCTCTGCAGAAAGAGCCATATATCCGGCCGCCCATTGATGCTTCGAGCCAAAGTCTTTTAACCCAAACACACAAAGATTGTCTCTTCTTCTTCTTCTTCTTTCTTTCTTCTAAAACTGAAAATGAAAGGGGAGTCAGGGGGGAGTTTGGTTTGGATTGGAATAGCAACAGTGGTAGCAGTTGGGTTGTTTATTTATAAGATGAGAAAAACGCAAAAGGAAAAGAAAGATACAAATAGAGGAATTCCAAGAGGGAATTCTGGTTGGCCTCTTTTAGGAGAAACTCTGGAATTCATAGCTTCTGGTTACACTTCTCGTCCTGTCAGTTTCATGGAAAAACGCAAGTCTCTGTAAGAATACACACACATATATTTATATATATATATATATCCCTTTCTTTTTCATTTCAATGAATAGTCATTTAATTTTTTCTTTAATTTTTATGGTGCTTTCTGGATTTACCATTTATACTAATTAATTTCTTTGTAGTAGAGAAATTAATCATGTCTTTGAAATCGATTATTAATTCAACCTTTGCTTAACAGCGAATCTTACCTAAGATTTGGTGATAGTTTTAAATTCTTAAAGCTTCCTGTTGGTTTGTAAGATCAGTCATTTTTAAAATGTTTTTACTATTTGTTTTAATGAAGGTATTATTTTTTAATAAAGAGTCATGGCGTGGTCATGCACGTGGGCCTCAATCAGTTGACTCAGTTCAGCTGCACGGCATTTTTATTAAAAATACTACAAGTAGTACAATTAGCTGTCTTTTTCATTATCCTAATTTTTTTTTAAAAAAAAAAGAATTGGAAAAAATACTAAGTACCAGTTTTTGACTGAAGAGAGAATTTATTTGAATAGAAAATACTCTTCCATTTAAATGCTACTAATATTCTCATATGACTTTCATGTTTCATTTTTATTCTCTTTTATTTACAATATAGTTCCATTAATATTTACTGTTTGCCGACACTTTGCTTACAATAAATACACTTCCAACTTTTGTCGGCCCTCAGTTATAATTCGCGTCCGCTATGGTTTCTATCTTGCCTTCATGTCATGTTGTATAGAGATAGAGCATGTGTTATAAATTTCATTAGAAGCTCAAAGTTCATAATTTGTTTAATTTTTTATTTGCCTACTATTAGGTCACATACTTCACAACAACTGAAATTAGAAATCTTAAATATAAATTAAATTATCTGTTAGTACAATAAATTAAAATATACTACTATTGATTTTGTAATTTTTTTTGTATAATTAAGACAATTGTGCCTTATATTTTCCCTGAGAAAGGTACTAGAGTTGTACATACGAGAAGTCTAGGTTAGGCAAGTAGGATCGTTTGCTTTTATTGCAGCATCATGATTCGTACCGCCCGTTTAACCAATGGTACGATATGTCATATGCCAAGCCAAATTCATGAAAAAAGATTTGGCAATCAATTACTCCCTCCCTCAGATCCAAAATAAGTGATTTTTTTTTTATATTTTCACACAAATTAAGAAATCTACCTTTTAGCATTAATTAGCAATAGAATTGACCATATTAACCTTTACTATCTCACATAAACACTCCTAACACATATTCCAACACCATTTACTTCAAGGACAATGTAGGAAAAAAATAACTAATTCATTCTTGAAATCTGAAAAAATTACTTATTTTGGACAACAAGGAAAGGCCAAAAATTACTTATTTTGGACCGGAGGGAGTAGTAGGTGGCTGGTTAAAGCTGCCATCTCTCTGTACCTCTCTTCCACTCTAAGCTAGCTAGGGACTAAATTGCAGAGCCTAATCAGCCTTCCTCATTAAAATTCACTGACCCCCTTTTTCCCTTCGCACATTTTTATATGACGCATGGCTGTAGTACTAAGCTTTGAGAGATTTATTTCAAATTTTATATTTAAATATTTGTTTGTTTATGTAGGATTTAACTATTTTTTTTGACGGATTTTATTTTCAAAATCCCAAAAATCGCTCTAGAATAATTTCTGAAGTTTTCTACTCACAAAACTTCAAATTCTTTCCACTAAAATGTATATCCAAATATAATTTCAACTTTCAAAAATCATTAGGGTATTATTATTTTTTGCCTGCGCCTGAAACTGTTTATACTCGGTAGACGAAAAAAGTATATAAAATTTGTATTATTTTTGTATATAACATACAGAATGTATATATATACAAAAAAATATACATTTTTTTTGGCTACTATTATTTTACCACGTCATTTTCCCAAAACGATTTCTCAATTTATCTTCAAAAACTTATTTTTTCTAGTTTTAACCAAATCTTTTTCCCAACTCTAGCTAATTCCTCTTATTTCATTCTTTTGATTTACTTAAAGGTATGGGAAGGTGTTCAAAACACACATACTAGGGAAAGGAATAATAGTATCAACGGATGCAGAGGTGAACAAAGTGGTTCTACAGAATAATGGGGATGTATTCATACCATGTTATCCTAAATCAATAACAGAATTGTTTGGGAAGAATTCAATATTGCAAATGAATGGACCAGTGCATAGGAGAGTGCATGGACTGATTGGGAGCTTCTTAAAATCAGCACAACTCAAGGCTCGTATTACACGAGATATCGAAGCCTCCGTCCGCCATTTCTTGTCGACATGGCTGGAAAATCAACACTGTGTCTACGTCCAAGATGAAGCCAAAAAGGTCTCTCTCTCTAAAATCTTGCTGCACATTCATGCATTTATATTATGTCGGCTTGTACTATGTAGTGTGAGTTTTGCGGGTTCAATTGAATTTATTACTTTTAACTTGAATCCTTTATATATATAAAGGAAATTACATTACAATTTATTTGCATAATAAGAAGTCACTCTTTCTAAATTCACTGGCTCTAGTTTTTATACGCAATTTTCTAGTATTCAATTAATTAAGCAACAATGAAATATGACAACTAAATTAGGACTACTAGTACAACCTAAACTACTCCGTCTTTCCTAAATTAAGTGTTCTATTTTGACATTTAGAATTATGAAAGTTGATAATTATTCATAAGAGTTGTTGTCTTTCTTTTTTTTTTTTGTTTGGTTTCTCATCCGGTGTCCGGTACCCGCATTGGAGCCCGACTATATCCGGATTCGCGCCGCATGGGGCCCCATTCGGGAGGGAAGCGCTCCCTACCAAGGATTTTTCCATACCCAGGCTAGAGAACAAAATTTAATAGTATTTCTACCATATTTTTTTATCAATCTCCTATTATAGTTTGCTAAGCTCTGATGGGGTACGTGATAATATAGTATACTCCAGATAGATAATGTTCTACCTTGTGCACATAGAAATATACTTATTCTCCAACACATACATATGAGGTCCATTTTCCTAATAGTAGTTGGTATATATTGTTGGCTATAAAAGATTGCATTTGAGGTACTGGTCAAGCTGATTCTAAGCGTGGGCCCTGGGGAAGAATTGAACTTGCTCAAGAAAGAATTTGAAGAATTCACCAAAGGCTTGATTTGTTTGCCCATCAAACTTCCCGGAACCACACTCTACAAATCTTTAAAGGTAACTTTTCGTTGGTTACTTAGTAACTTTTTTTTAAGATCAAGTTATATGCATCGACAGTATATAAAAAATATTTATGTTTAGTTCGTTCTTCTCCATAACTTCTTTGCATGTGTGAGTTGTGACACTGTTTTAGGGTTTGTATAGGCCAAGGAAAGGTTATCAAAAATGGTAGGGAAGATGGTAGAGGACAGAAAATTAAGAATGGAAACAAGGGAAGAGAAGGCGTTACCAAATGATGCAATTGATGTGCTTTTAGGATATGCTGATGGGGCAAAGCAACCTCTGCCGCCGTCTGATTTCATCAGTGGGAATTTGATAGAGATGATGATCCCAGGAGAAGAGACGGTACCAACGGCCATGACCTTAGCTGTCAAATTCTTAAGTGACAACCCCGTCGCTCTAGCTCGCTTGCTGGTATGATGTCGTTATCTTCTTTAATCAATTTAGAATTTACGTCCACGGAATTTTTACATTATCATATTAAACAACATACAACATCAAATAGTTATCTATAATAAGCCCTATTTAGTATAACTAATTTGCGAATCTCTTTTTTTTTTTTTCGGTTTCCAACCCGGTGTCCGGTACTCGCATTGGAGCCCGACTATATCCGGATTCGCGCCGCGTAGGGCTCCCTTCGGGGGGAAACGCTCCCTACCAAGAATTTTTCCATACCCAGGGCTCGAACTCGAGACCTAATTTGCGAATCTTTCATTTATACGCATGTACACAATTTAAGGATGAAAGAACCAAAATAGTAGATCATTTCTACGAGAGTATATAATTAAAGGTGAAATGTGATTAAAAACAAGGATTTAAAAAAAAATTAAAAGATTGTCATAAAAATGAAAGGAGTAGACATTAGTAAAAGTGACACTTTTGGAATATAATAAATGGACGGATAGGCTTGCTTGGGCTTAAATATCAATGGTTGGAAGCAATGTTGCCTGCCCCCACGTGTGGGTAGTGGGGAAATGTCACAGTCACATGATCGTGAAACATTTTCTGCTTTTATTTAATTTTTCTTTTTGACCTTTTCTGTAAAGTCATTTTCAAAATTTGAGACACAGAAAACTTTGGTTTAAAAGAAAAAAAAAAAGTATGGAAGAGGATGTTGCAGCCGTGCGATTTTGATTAAACGGCTATCAGTTGTGGACCAACTCCATTTACTACCCCCGTGCTTTTTTTTATTGAACTTGTGCCCCCAGACTCTTTTTTCCTTCTTTTTTGCACAGGTTAATATTTCAATATTCTACTGATAGAGTGAAATTCTTGAAGAACTGTGAAGGATAATCCCGGGATTATTAATTCAATTCTGGAGAAGACGAAGTTTTCCATTTAACAAGAATTGTAATTATTTAAGGATTATTCTAAGAAAAATAGATAAATTAAAAATGATATGAGAGTACAATAGTTAGTGAGATATCCTTCTTATAGCTTGTCTGGCCGTACTTCTAAAATCAACTATTTAAAAAATATTCTTTTCAAAAAATATTGTTGGTAAAAAACAGTTTGTATTTGACTAATTAATTTGAAAAGTATTTTTGAGCAACAATTAGTCATGTATAATGCATATGTATCTTGTACAGGTACACTATGAGTTCTAATTTTCACCGATTTGTTGTGACAGGAGGAGAATATGGAATTGAAGCGGCAGAAGATTAGTTCCTCTGAGGATTATAGTTGGACAGATTATATGTCATTGCCCTTCACTCAGAATGTTAGTAATCTCCATCTTTATGCTATAAATTTAATGTTGGAGCAGTTACATGTAGGTTCAAGTTCCTATTAAATGTACTTCCACTTCTTCCTTTTCGTTCCTTTTACTCATGGACTTACTGTCACAGTATCACCTCTACCCTAAAAAATTGTTTAAAAGAATAAATAAAAAAATTGTTAAAAAGGCTGAAAATTCCATCAAATTATTGAAGTTCACAAGAAAGAGAAGATTAAGATCACTTGTTATGGAATGGCAGGTTATCAGTGAAACGTTGAGATTGGCAAATATCATTAATGCAGTTTGGAGAAAAGCTCTCAAGGATGTCAAAATCAAAGGTCTGTTTTGTTTTCTTTATGACTTCTAGCATTTTCCCATCTCTGTGTTTATACTTTATACCTCCTCGCTATTGTACGGCTATTTCATTTTTCGTCATAATTTACAAGGAGATTGTGTTTAATTGGGGTTATTGTTGCAGGGCATTTGATACCAAAAGGGTGGTGTGTTTTGGCATCCTTCACTTCAGTTCACATGGATGAAGAGAATTATGAAAATCCATACAATTTTGATCCCTGCAGATGGGAGGTCAGCTTTTCTTTTTACAATTGTTATTTTCAACAGTCTTATTAACTAGTCTTAGCCAATGTTACTCGGACTTTTCAAAAATGATGTAAGGTGCGTGTTGGATCTTCCAAAAGTACATTTTTTGAGGACCCGACACTGGTACACAATATTTTTTAGAAGTCCGAGCGATATAGGTCTTAGCCGTTTATATTAGAGGCTCAAGATTCTATCATCAATTCCTTCTTTTCCTAACCTGGTCAAGCTTTAAATGCCACTCATTACTATTTTAGTGTATACCAATAGTTAGTTAATATTGGTAAAAGAAAAGTTACCTAATTTTATCAAAAGGTATGTACTAATTAATCATGTGAAACCTCATGCATTGCACGGGTTAATATAGCTAGTTGTTTCATCAATTAAGAGTCATTGAATTATGATTGTTAACTTCCCACAGATGTGTGATCAATCTAACTTAGGTCAATAGTGATTAGAATTCTAACTAAAGTTTGGCTTTGGCTTGGCAGAAGGTTGGAATTGCTGTGACCAGCAGCACATTTACACCATTTGGTGGAGGACAGAGGCTTTGTCCTGGTTTAGAACTTTCAAGGCTTGAAATCTCCATTTTCCTCCACCATCTCGTCACCACCTACAGGTAAACTCGGTCTCTCTGAAACCTAGCTCGGGATTGAGATATAGTTGTTGTATTATGAAAATAAAGTAGGTATAATTGAAGAGGTGATTCTTTTTGTTTTTTTCTAACCAAGTAGCTAAGGACCAAAGATAGTGGTGTTTGAAATAATTCAAGAATAATAATGTTAAAGAATTGGTGAAGGCTAATGAGGAATCACTTTCTGTTGTTTGATGAACAGATGGGTGGCAGAGAAGGATGAGATTGTCTATTTCCCAACAGTGAAGATGAAGAGCAAGCTGCCTATCAACATCATGCCCTTTGAGCAAAACCCACTAATTCAAACCAAACAAAACTAACTTCCCCTATAAAGTTGTTCTTTTGTTATTTCACCCTTTCCCCAGCAGCTCAACATGCTTCTCTACTATTTATGAAACCCACATTTCTCTTCCTTTATTATTATCTCAATCAAAAATATATATCTATATGTTAAGGTAGCAAACCAAGTAAAAAAATAAATTTAACATTATTTTGATAAGATAGAACATTGAAGGGACGGATTAATTGTTAGCTCAAGTGTCATTGTCTTCTAGATTGATGGGTCCTATTTTCTTATTTTCTTTTGGGTGGGATCCAGTCCATTTCATTACTACTATATAGTTCTAGTGTATTATGAATGCTAGTGGAAGTATTATTCAAAAACTTGATTGTTATCGTCAATTTTTGGAAGATTTGAATATCAATATGTGGAGGAAAAAAACAATATTCGATGGCTGTAAACTGGATATATACATGAAGATGAAAGGTGGTCCTCTGCCATGTCTAGCACACGTGCGTCACTTACCCTACTAATAATTTGACTGGTAAATCAGACAAAAGTACAAAATTTCATCAAGGTTTTGTTATAATTTAGGAAGCCTCACTTCACAATCAGAGTTTCTATACAACATAGCTGGCATGATTCTATTTAGTTCATTAGTCTAAAGTTCACGACAAGATAGTGCAGTAGTTGCATTTATGGAATCAGATGATTAGATGACACTATTAACAGGACAACCCTCTAACTATTCTTTGATCAAATTATGTGAAAAGAATTCATGAATTTTTGTCATATCGGACTAATTTTGATTTGAAGTCATGGAAACAGCCTCTTGCAGAAATGCAGGGTAAGGCTGCGTACAATAGGCCCTTGTGGTCCGGCCCTTTCTCGGACCCCGAGCTTAGTGCACCGAGCTGCCCTTTGCTATGTGATTGCTCTAAAAGTAGGCAAGCAAGTTAAAGAGTTTGGAAATTAACAGAAGCCAAAACCAATTTCATTGTCACTTACGTGCTCTTTGTCAGTCTTATCAATGCTCTGGGCATGTATGGGCTTCAATCACTTCGGAAACTGCATCTATATCTTGAATTTGTTGTGGACAAAAAAATCCAACTCAACAATCCATGCGTCACCCTGCAAATGAATAGGTTTTAATGTAACAACTTGTTTGGATGGTTGTTACCTATCTTTCGTAACGTACCATATTATATTGTATTATATTATATTAAACTATAATATTTTAACGAATACAATATTTGGATAAAATGACGTGACCACGCCAAATTGGTCGTCATATAAAGTGGCACTTTTCCTATGTAACGACAAATTTAACGATATGATACTATAAAAATTTAGTAAACAACCGAAACAAATATTATATTTAAGGTTACAAAACAATACAATAGGTAACAACCATCCAAACAAGTTGTAGGAGTAGATGTTGTTTGTATGTGAAATTCCACAAGGAAACAAGTTATAGGAGTAGATGTTGTTTGTATGTGAAATTCCACAAGGAGTAGGAACTCAATTCCTATGGCAATCAACCATGGACGGAGCCAGCATACATGTTACGGGTTCGGCCGAACCCAGTAACTTTGGTCCAAACCTTGTTTTTGTCTATAAAAAATTCATTGAATATGTACAAATTTTCTTAATTTAGAACCCAGTAATTTAAAAGAACTAGAGTACCGAACCCATTAACTTCAAATCCTAGCTCCGCCTCTGCGATCAACGCCTTCAGCAGAATTGGGTTTCTGCTATTGGAATCACATCGTTAAAAAAACATATACAGATAAAATGTTATCAGTTATCACAAGCACGTGATAAAATGCTCACGGTCAATTGCACAAATACAGTAGAAGAAAGATGAACTCAAGATTTACGAGGTTCAACTAGTACGTCTACGTCCTCTGGTAAGATTTTTTTTTTTTTTTACAATGACGAAAGGAAGCCAATGTCATATCACAAACTCTAACACCGTAATTCCCTGTATTCTCTTCCAGTCTCACATTGCAACGATACTTCCTCTGCTAAAAACACAAATATCAGAAAATATCCACTTGAATGGCACCACAAAGTTTTAGATCAAGTCAACTAAAATATCCAAAATTCTAGTTACGTTGACAGAAATTACTCAAAAGTAAAGCTGGAAATTTAGAAGAGTGATTTAACCTCAATAAATTTAGAGGAAATGTGCAGATAAGCCAGTGATCTATATACTTGTTTACTGCTTTAGGATAGTAATCTATGTAATTTGTTTACTGCATTTGTGCAGATCACTGTTCAGTAGCGCTTCTCCTTTTGCAGAACCACTGGGAGAAAGTCTCTGGAAAATAACAGCGGGGAGAAACTAATAGGGCTTTGTCATCCTCTTATGGTTGACTGAATTCCACCATTTTTCCAGCTAAAATCAACAGAATCGTCCCATTGAGATGTTGATAGTTTTTTTATTCGCAAATGAGATAAGGAATTGTAATCCCATGCTTAGATTTTTGGATTCTTCATATCTCCGACTTGAGAACCAGTCCAGCCTGCTTACACCATAGACATCCCAATATTTCAGAGAACTCACAAAGTCAATACGAGAGCAAATGTGCAATAATTAAAGGTGGCAATACCAAAATGATGCCCAACTGGGGCAGAGAGTTATCTCTGCCTGAAAAATTCGAAACAACCTGTAGTAGGCAAAATCCGTGGAGGGGGGTGGAGAGGGGTATAGTTACTGAAATATTCATGCTATTATAGAAGTATGCAGATCCGAAAAAGGCAAGGATTTCAACATATCCTACATTTGAAAGAGGTCAAAGATGTTCCAGTTCCCATCAACCGTAAGGTTCTCTTTATCTTGGGACATATTATACCAATTCATGGGAGATAGTAAGGACAACATGTCAAGCCATGGCTGCCTTCTTCTCTTGATCTTGCTTTTGCAGCTCACCACCAGTCTTTCAGCTCATGCGCTTTCCCATGCCACTGCAACCTTCTTGCACTCTGCCCTAGGGCTGGGCATATATCGGGTAAAACCGATAACCCGAACCGTTAATTATTTATTGGATTATCGGTATTGGGTTATTGGGTTAACGGTTCAGTAACGGTTTAGAATTTTTTCACTATTGGGTTATCGGTTCGGGCCTCGGTTTGGCAATTCTGTTATTGGGTTAACCGATAACCCAATAAGGATTAACGAAATTACTGCTTTACCCTTAAGTATATACATATGCAGATATACTAGGGCTTCATTCTTAGCCTCAGCCGCATTCTTCAGAGTTCAGACTCTTCACTCTTCAATTGGACAACTGTTTGTAGTGTTGAATTATTAGTTGCAGATTTTATGGCTTAGCAGCAACATTATGATGTTTGTAGTGTTGGAAACTGGAAAGTTGTAGCAGCAACATTATGTTGAATATTAGTGGCAGATTCTTTGTTCAATGTAGTGTTTGATTATGTTTGTTGCAGATTCTTTGTTCAATGTATTGTTGTTTACGTTGAATATTAGTTGCCGATATAAAACTGTTTTAGCACAATTAGTAAGACATGTGATACAACAACTATATTGCAGGGGTCAGATTAAGTCAAAGCTAGCAAGAAGATTAGCACAATTAGTTGTGTCCACTGTCCAGAACCGATATAAAGTTGTTTTATAAACTGTTTTAGTTGTGGCCAGAAACGAGTTTTAAAACTGTTTTACTCTTCTCTTTTTTGCTTAACTCTAGATTGAGTTATCTTATCGGGTAAACCGATAACCGAACCGATAATTATCGATAACCGATAACTAATATCTTATCGGTTTGGTTATCGGTTTATCATATTTGTAAACCGATAACCGATATGCTAAACCGATAATATTCATAACCGAATTGAACCGACCGATGCTCACCCCTACTCTGCCCTTTTAAATAAACACTAAATTGTAGTATCTCCAACATGAACTCTTGGAAAAGCATATTAAAGCTAATAAGCAAGGTGTATAAAGCAAAGTCGTGGATAGGTCATTCTAAATTAAACATCATCACTTACAAAAAAAATGAATTCTATTCCTGAAAGGAAAAGGCAACTGCAAACGTGAAGATGGATGATTTTTCTTTTGATCAATATTTAAGCTATATTAACTACATATTACATTTAACAGGCCTTTAATCAAAGAGACAACTTAAAATATTCTGATGATCAGGAAACTCGAAAGAAAATGTTATTCAGAATTTTACCAAACAAGAAAAGAAGAAAACAGTTAAATAGGACAAGCAAAAGCCAGTATTCCAGCATGAGTAGAATAACAACTAAATGAAACTAGACCTGGGGTCTCAAGCAGGTTCTTTCAAGCGAGGCTTGTTGCAGGCCCTTCCCCTTTTCGTTACCAACGGTCATTCAAGCTGAACCATTGAAGAGAGAAATCTATGATAGGCCAGGTTGAAGTGTGCCAAATATCAGCCGAAGCTCCGGTTCTGCACTGGCTACTGGTAGAGGTGGCCGACAAGGTGCAAGCAAACAACCAGATACTCTCCTCCCTGAAAGAGGGGATTTCAGAAACAGGTTGGACAATTGTCTCAAGGCTTAGAAGCCGATTTGGCTTAACGACCACTCGCTATGGGCTCCAGTCGAGTCCACCCATTTGCTAAATGGTAATGATAATTCATAAACAACAGCATCTTATGAGGTCCATTGACATTCCACCGTCGAATTTAATCCAGATGACATAAAGTTTCTGCCGAGAATACAGTACAAGAAATGACTAAGAAGAACAGATCAATCCTATGACCTTCTAAAATATGACCTGTTCTGAGTACCAAATGAGATATCTTCTGCAAAGTTCTTGTAAAAGATTTGATCATCTGCAGCTATGGCTTGATCAAGAAACTTGGTTGAATTGCCATTTACTTAAATGAGGTCAAAGACTCTACAGCATGGATGGTGTGTATTTAAGCATTATAATGGACCAAATGCAGAAGCAAGTTCTGCATCCTTTCCATTCGTGGGTTTTACTTGACCGTGAAAGTGCAACCTAGCTCGATTGAACAAAGAAAGTAAGTTCAGTAGCTCCTCATGGGAGAGCTTTGAAGGTCTCTTATCTTCGAATCCACCAGATCGTAGAATGTCAATGACTTTCTCTCTGAACAAGCTCAGGTCCATTCCGACATCAGAAGAGACATTAGCATTATCTTCATTGCACAGTCCATCTTCATCTTCTGAATCATTAACATGATAATCGCTGTAAATTGCGTTATTCACTTCATCCAATTTGATTTCTTGCAGCTTCATTAACTCCAGTAACATTCTTTTCTGCTTAAAGATCGCACCTAATGTTTTATTTTTCTTGGTGAAGCAAGTTCTTGTAAATGCACACCATTCTTGATAGTCCACCTTTGGAATTTCAGCTTTAGGATGTATCTTCACAACAGCAGAATCAACTTTTGGACACGGCAAAAAATCCTTCTTGCTCACATTCATGACAAACTCTACATCAGCCACCAGCTTCACGTTCACAGCTAATCTATTAAACTTCGAGTCCCCTGGATTTGCCAATAGCCTCCTTGCAAACTCTTTCTGAAGAAGTAGCGTCCCACTCCTATATGGGTTCTTCCCAAAAACCAATTTAGCAACCAGAGGAGAGGAAATTCCATAAGGGATGTTGGCTACTAAAAGATCAAACTCTGGAAACTCGGTCTTTAAAGCATCTTGACATATAACCTGCAAAACCCAAATGGCAACTACTCAACTGAACTAAGTATAAAGTCCTAGGCATGTCAACCCAACTGCATTAAGGTTTGTTCGGTTCAGTGACAAGTTATACAAGGATTATAATATAAGGGTTGTTATATAGTGTAATAATACATGGATTGGCATGCCATAGATAATAATATAGGATGTAGAGATGGCCCTACCAAAATATAGAATTAGCTTAACCCTGGTATTACTAATAAACCTAGTCTTATATCACCTTCTATCCCCTATGAAATGATACCTGATTCCCGTAAGTTATGTCAGTATCAGTTATGCTGAACTTTAACCAAAACCACACGTTATATTAATAGAGCAGAATTTTATACTAATAATACTAATTTTGTTACGCATTTCGTCGAACAGTGTATAAGCATATAAACTTACAGTTAAGCGGTCCTGAAGCCCTCGCTCAGAGACGCGCTTGTGAAGAATCTCAACCATACGTTTGTCAATTTCGATGGCTATGACTTTTTCGGCAACTTCTAGAAGTTTCAGGGTGAGATTTCCGGTGCCGGGTCCAATTTCTAGAACGGTATCAGTAGGAAGTATGTTGGATTTTTGGACAATGGAGTTAAGAACTCGGGGATTCATGAGCAGATGTTGACCTCTGCTTTTTAGCAAATAAATTTGTGCTTCTTGATTTTCAGTTTTTCCTCGGACTCTGTGATAATCTTCATCTTCATCTTTGGCGTTGTTGAAACGGCGAGTCGACTTCGTACGACAATGTTGCCGGAGAAAGTGTTGGTTAATGTTTAGTTTGGAAATGTTTTCTGAGAGAATTTTGGTACGATGAAGCATTGTGAAGCCTTGTTATGGAGTTGGAAAGATTTCTAAATTCTCAGGCTTCGTTTTGAATTTCAGCGGGAATTAGAGGGGCATTCATCAGCTTCCATATTCCAACAAAGAGAATTTCTCACCAGTAGAGGAAAAAACAAGGCCCGGGTCAGTTCATAGATCTAGGCCAGGTTTTCTGGCCCAATGGTTTGGTCAATTGGGAGGTGAGTCCTAATTCGTGGAAATGACACCAGGTAGCCATTTTTAAGCATGTTATTTAAAATATATCTACAGTTTATAATGTATTTAAAGATTAGTCAATTTCCCTCAAATTTCAGGACACAGCGTCCTAGAGTTTAAACCTCAAAGTTCAAACTTCAGGACATCGTATCCTAAAGTTCGAAAATTGTGTCCAAAAGTTCGAATTTTATGTATCAATTTTAAATTAGTACCCCCTTCGGTCCAAAATAAGTGACTTTTTGGCCTTTTTCTTGTGGTCCAAAATAAGTGATTTTTTCAGATTTCAAGAATGAATTAATTATTTTTTTCCTACATTATCCTTGGAGTAAATAGTGTTGGAATATGTGTTAGGAGTGTTTGTGAGATAGTAAAGGTTAATATGGCCAATTCCATAGCTAATTAATGCTAAAAGGTGGATTTCTTAATCTGTGTGAAAACATCCAAAAAATCACTTATTTTGGAGCGGAGGGAGTAGCTCAGAAATTCAGGATAGAATTTCAAATTAGTACTGAAGTTTGGGTAAATTAGCTAATCTTTAAATACATTATAAATTATGGATGTATTTTAAATAGCGGGCTTAAAAGTGGCTATTGCTGCACTTTGCCCTCCTAATTTTTTCCATAATAAGGCCCAGCTTTTAGGAGGTGAGTCCGTGAGTGAAAGAGCAATTGTTATGTGGTATGTTGAGTACAATTTACCATTAAATTTTACTCTGTGTACTTGTGTCGAGTTATGATATGAGAAAGGGCATGAATGTTGTGATAAAAGAACTTAAAAAAATCTGACTAAACAACGCATGGAAGTACCATAATTATTTTACAAGGCCAGTCTATGATGCAACAATTGAGACCATTAGCTAGTGGTATTAAGAGAGGGTCACAGACTGAAACCTTCCAATTATGACTTTTAATTATAACTAGAGAAACAAGATTGCATCATTATGTCTTACGTTTGTATAATAGAAAAACACCGCTTAATCACTTCTTCTTTTCTGATCGAGCTTCCATTTCTACTAATTATGTTCTTCATCTTTGTCTCTGAGTAACATTCTTTCAAGGGTGTTTTGCTACATTAATACTTTAGTATTCAGATGTCGAATCTTTTGCATACAAAATATAACCTGTGTTTTTCATGGTAGAAAGGTATTAATATAAGGCATAACCCTTCAAATGTTTTTGAGGCAGCAGAATTTGGGGTCTGGTTATTTTTATCACTAGTTATTACTCCCTCCGTCTCATAATATGTTTCATGGTTACTAAAAATAGTTATCACAAATTATTTGTAATTTTAGAATTTCAAGACAAAATTTACTATATTTTTTCTGTTTTACCCTTAATAATCAATTGCATTCACATTTAATAAAAATATGGATAATGCCATTGATAGAGAGGATACATAAATTAAAAAAACGTTTAATAAGGGTAAAGTAGTCAAAAAATATGCTTTATTAAGAAACGTAAACAAGAGAATCACGACACATATTATGAGACGGAGGGATAGCTGTAAGTCCCTCTATGCAAACTCCTTTTGTTTCTCTCTTCTAAATAAGTGTATAAGAAAATGACGCTTCGTATCGCTGCAATTATGGCAGATTAATTAATTAATGTTATAGAAAGTGATGTAGTATCGGATATATGAACATTGAGATCTGATAAACCCATGGGATGTTTCAAATATATCTATATAGAATAGGAGAAGCAAAACCACTACATTAAGACAAGTGTCTTAACCACAAAATGCCAAGTGGCATTGTTAAGACAAAATAAACTACTTTTCTAACTAACTTTTTATTGAATTTTAAATTTTGAATTAATTGGTTACACTACTTGAATTAATAAATATAGATATTATAATTATCAATAAAAAATAAAAATACAAAAAAAAAATCTACTCATTCAAATAGGAGTTTTAAAATTATTTTAAAATAAAAAACAAAAATAACAAAAAATAAATAATAGGAATTTCAAAAAAACATATTGTACAGATAAGGCTGTCTAACTGAAATCATAATAGATATTGAATAAAAATAACATTAATGTAAATTTATATGTAGATAATATCAATAGTTAAAGCTAAAATTTAATATATCATATTGAAAACAAAATAAAAGTAGTTTATAATTATTATTTGAATTATAGGTAAAACACTAAATAAAATATTAATTAAAAATATTATAGTAAAAAAATGCATAACAGAGGATGATAGAGATTGTTTGAGTATATTTATGATTTTGATTAATTTGTAAAATAAATATAGTAAATAATTAAATAATGCTAAAAATTATGGTTAACAAATTTAGACAATGAACTAAGCATTTATATTGGTTTGTCTTTTAAAAGTACTATATTAATTATTATAACATATAAATTATTTTATAACAAGCAAAATCTTAAAATTGACCGCGCATCGCGCGGGTGCCTACACTAGTTTCCAATAATGATCACCTAGTCAAGCAGACTCTCATGTCTTGGAATATGTATTCCTCTTTCTACTCCGCAAGCTAAGTTTAGTCCCTCCGGTTCACAATAAGTGTCCAATTTACTTTTTCATTTTGGTTCAAAATAAGTGTCCAGTTATGTAATCAAGAAAGAATTCAATTTGTTTTTACAAAATAACCCTTATGTACATATCCCTAAAAAGTTTTCTTCTCACATTAAATGTTTAATTAGGGGTAGTTTAGTCATAGTGGGTATTTTTGTATAGAATTTAGTATCTTTTTTAATGGGCGTGCTACAAGCAAATTGGACACTTATTGTGAACCAGAGGGAATAGCATATATGGTTTTTTCTTTTTTTTTTTATTGTTGTGATAGATACGTAAATCATGTTATACCACAAAAGGGAAATGCAATACTTATTGAAAGTGAAGAGGTGAAACCCCACACCAAGCATAAGGACCTAGACTTTTATGTGGTGGTTTGTGTGAGAAATAATAAAATATACATGGCATTTTATTAACCGCATGTATTCTTAGTTAGGTTCGGACATAAATTTGGTCGAAAATGGAAAAAAAATGAGTTTTTGAAGATGAGATGAAAAATAACTTTTGAAAGTTAAAATTGTGTTTGGACATGCATTATACTTGAAAAGAATTTGAAGTTTTATGAGTAGAAAACGTCAAATACTACTCTAAAACTCTTTTGGGGGATTTGAAGATTTTGTTTTTAGGAATTAGAATCTACCAAAAAATAGTTAAAATCTATAAAATAAAATAAAATAAAAAAACAGATATTTGAAAACAAATTTTTTTTAAAAAAAAACTCCCACATTTTATGGTCGAACGGGAGCTTAACAAATTGACTTTTTGCTCGTCCGAAGAAATTTATGGCTTCTCAAGCCACCAAGGCGGCTAAATTTATTAAATATACAAAATAATTAAATAGTATAATTTACGACTAATATTGAGTTCATAAATCTACCCACGGTTTGCGAATACAAAAAAAAATTTAAAAAAAATAAAGAGATTAAAGCACAAAATGTTGCATGGACAGAAAAGCTAGAACTATGTGAAACAAAACAAATAGTGTAACAGAAACTCATGTTACTGGGGATGTGGCCCTATCATCAACAAAAGGATAAAAGCTGGACATACTCAAGTGATATTGCTCGACAAAATAGGGGGATTTGTATCTATACTCGTTTTTTGGGTCACATTTTAATTTGTGCCCATTTGGTAAAAAAAATTGTAAGCGTATTCACTTTTTCGCGTAACTTTAGCATACGGGGCTAAAGTAGTAAAGACAATCACGCAAAACTTCAGCATTCTAGTAGACGGGCCTGAAGTAGCAAGTGTGTTGAACCAAGTGTGTTGAAATTTTTGTTTGTAATTGCTGAACTTAAGCATAGTAGCTTAAGTTTTGTTCTCTATTTGCTGAAGTTTTTGTTTGTAATTGCTGAACTTAAGCGTAGTAGCTGAAGTTTTATTCTCTATTTGCTGAAGTTTTTGTTTGTAATTGCACTAAATAAGCTGAAGATTTTTTTTTATCCTGGATTCATTAGTTTTGTCATTAAGCTTTCAAAAACATCAGTAGAGGATGCTGAAGTTATTTAGTTCATTTATAAAAGCTTCAGCACTAAATAAGCTGAAGTTTTTTTATCCTGGATAAGATTTTTGAAAAACTTCAGCAGAAGATGCTGAAGTTATTTAGTTCATTTGTAAAAACTTCAGCACTAAAAGCTGAAGTTTTTTTGTCCT